CTGTCTAGAACATGCATTTGAGCTGCACTTGTTTGAAAGGGGATGCATTGCACACAGGCTCTTTTGTGGTCTATACTGGATGTGCTGGCTGGAACCATCGTGCTTCAGTCTTTTACAGTGAGGTATCTGACTTTTAAAAGCCTTTTTTTTTCCTTTCTCTTCTATCAGGCATGTTTACTGGGTTAATTTAAAGCCTTCACAAATTTGCAGATCTTGCTGCTGCTCAAGAAAGCACAGTGCTCCTTGTTCAAATGTTTGTGAAAGCTAGATTGACAAAGCGACTTTCTGAAAAGCAGGGGATCCAAGAGCACTCCGGAGCTGTATCTGAGTCAGCCAGATTGTCACATAGAGAGGTGTGGAGAAAACTGAAAGCAGTCGAAGGCCAAGGCCTTACAGACTGGAGAGAGCTTTGGAAACGTCTTTTTAAGCTTTCATTTTCATTCCACAATTGATGCACAGCTTCTCACATTAAGAAAAGGAGAAAAAAAAGTGCCGTGAACATAGACATTACTGACTAATGGATGGACAGTAAGAACGGCAGTGCTGAGAACCCCAGTAAAATAATGTGTAGTGCTGAAATTAAATCATGTGTTTCCACTGGTACCCACTATATTATCCCAATGTGCTGTACATCGCTACCTACATTACAATGCCACCATTCTATAATCAAGAAAGGAAGTATTGCCAGCAGCCACTAGTCGGAGCTGTTGGACAAAGCTTTGTAAAAGTGCATGGTGGAAAGGCTTGTTAAATGCTGAACATAAAAATATCAAAAGTGTTTATTTCTATAGCAAGAGATGCGTTCCTTAGCTAAGACAAATACAAATCTTTTTTCTTCATGGAGTGGCTTCTTTCTACAGCATTCAGCACAACGTCCCATAGGTCTCCACCGAAAAGCAAGGAGATTTTTCTCCATATAGCATTCTGCCCATGGACAGGAATTTGATGATTGAATTAATGATCATAAATGCATGTTGGTATTGATGCAACATAGGGATCGTTATCCCATATACTGCACAGATTTCCAGTCCTGGTTCTGCAGGGCTGGTGGTCTGTGTGCATGAATTCCAAGCGTGTTCTTCACAACCTTTATCACCTGGTTATTAGCCTTAATGGACCAATGGAGCCACTTCCCTCAGCTCCTCACATTCTTCTGCTAAAAGACCTAGAAAATCTGCAGCCACACTGGCCCCTGACAAGTATATGTCAGGCCTGACTGTATGTGAGGGGTTGCCAAATCTATCCCTAGTAGCTGGGATAGTGTTTAAAATCGCCTTTAAAAATGTGAAAGCTTACGCATTAAAATCTGAGGATTTACTGTCTTAGAAACACTAAGTTTCACTCAAGTCCTAAAACTGCAAGGCACTTTCAACACATTAGGTTATACATGCAGATTTTATTTCAAAGAGATCATGATATCTTAAGCACTAACAGCTCTTAATGGTGCACCAGAAGAACCAGTTCTTTCTGTAGGAGTCGAATTGTGTACGCAAAGTAATATTAACATGAAGAGATGGCAAATAATCACACTTTGTACATGCTGGTTTGGAAAGGTAAAAAAGGAGACAAACATTTTCCAATTAAGCATTTCCAATCTCAGTGAGTTTTGCCCACATCCTGGCTGATTGCCTCCATAGATGACAGTCTTGACCTTACAACCTATTTTCAGCTCAGCTCTTTCACAGGTACGCTCTCATCTCCAGCCAGTGTAATCAAACGCTCACACGATAAAGGAAATTGTGCCACTGAGGCCTAAACCGAATCACCCTCCCCATCAACAACAGTAATTAAGATTTAATATGTTTTTGTTTCCAGTGTTTTTTTGTTGTTATCATTTCCTGCACATCTGGGCTACCAACCTAAAAAAAAAGATTTATGGATGCTCTTTGTAATTATATACAGTCAAGCAAGCAGGGCTTAAATAATTGCTGAGTTAACAGTAAAAAACAAAAACAAAAACAAGCATATCAAACTGCAGATTTTATGTTGACATCAGCCAAAGACTAAAACCATTTGAAATTACCAAGAAAGAAGTCAATATACAGTAGACATCAGCAGTAAAGTTCTCTGTAGTTTCTAACTAGTCGCCAGAGATAAGATTGCCCTTTCAATAAATTAGATTACGCTTTCTTTAAATAAGGTGTTATCATGGGCTGCAGCTCTTCACTAGTTGTAGCACTGTACTGTATATTTATTCATGGTTACTGAAATCTTTCGCAATCTCAATAACATTACATGAGTTTAAATAATCTGAGTTAGTCACTGAAATACTTACCTGTATACTACAGTAAAGACTATAACTGACATCTCACCAGTTTCCTCGTTTGGTTATGTGTATTTTTCAGTGACTTGCATATACAGAACCAGGTTCCAACATGAAGCATCTCTTGCACAGCAATGTTCATGTATTTTTTAGGTGAGGTGAACCTAGGTGATCGTTTCATTGCGATTGCCCGAATTCTGAACAAGGAGTAAAAACATGCGCTCCCTCTGCTTTTCAGAAAAGACCTCCTCTCCCCTTGGTCTCCTGCCTTCAAGACTACAAAGGCACATACCCTATTAAAGGGTTTGTGCAAAAATAGGATAAGCAGGTAAATATATAAAGCACTGCATGTTGCTACTAATACTACAACAGGCCCTATACAAAATGAATACTACTATACTGTTTTTACCACCACCACTACTTTCAACCACCAGCACCACTGCCGATATACTTATAGTACAGTAATTATAATGATAATAAGTCAAAGAATGGAAATGTGCCATTCAGGTGACACAGCATGCCAGCCTTCTTTAATCACCTTTTGATCAGCATTTTGTAAAAGAGGCTAATTCCTGCTCTTTCCTCTTCCACCGCTGCAGCCTCAGTTTAACTATATGAGCCACGGGCCCATTGCTTGGAATATGACATTTGTTTTTTGCAGCTGCCGGGGTGACAGAAGACTCCTCGCAAAAAAAACCTTTTGCAATGAATAGTAATGGCAGCATTAAGATTAATGAGCCCAGCATGTAAAGAATAATTGTGGCTGTCTTTGGATTAAAAATACATGAAGGAGACGGCTATTTGTTCAATGCGCATTACTAAACTTGAAATCTCCAGGACGGATACAAGCCCAGAATGGGATGCGTTTAAAAAAAAAAGAAAAAAAAAAGAAGAAATTCCCCCCCCTTTGATTTTTATTCCAATACCAATTAAATTTAGATGCAGAAAGAGCCCGAGTGAAATCAAAGGCCATGACAAGGATTCTTTGCAGTAATGACTCCTTGAACGTTAATGATAAAATTCAAGGCTGCCTGTCTGACAAATGTAGGTGATAGTTTCCGTCCAAGGATTTACAATGAGATCAAATCTTAAAAAATACCCCAAAGAAAACATTCGTTTTTTTTTGTGCTTGAACACAACGCATTTGTACTCCATGAGCCCACCCTTCAAGGCTATACTGTACTAAGAAATAACAATAGAACAGCCGTATATTCATAAAGAGCTCCCAAATCTCCAAGTTATTTGTACCAGAATGAAGTCTGCACCATCATTACTGACTAGATCCAAACAGTTTTTAAATACTAATACTACTACTCAGTTAAACACTCCAGAACCTCCACTATCCAGACTTCTTTTGTTCAACTGCTAACTTATGGAAAGCAATTATACTCTTTTAAATCCCATGTCCACTTATCGCGTACTGTGCCTGACTTTTCTAAAAACGTTTTCGGCCTTTTACTGCCACCTGTAAAGTCAACAGTATATAACGAGAATATTACGTTAACAACAAGATGCCACTCTCTTTTCACTGACGTCCAGCACAGTAAACTTCGGTCACTGGGTCTTTGAAGAGGCAAATACCAGTGACAGTAAATGGTTTCCACAGAGTCAAGAAAACACTGTTGACGATCTTGCTTTTTCTGAAAGCATACCTTTTTTTGCTTTGTTTTTCCTGGGGGGAGCTTGCCTGGGGCTAAAAAAATTGCATTATTTAAATTCTACACATTTTTAAAGGTTGATATTTTTATTTGCAAGTTTCTTTTCACAGTGGCTGTTTTCACTTACATTCAGTGTTCTCAGTATACTGGATGTAACCTAAAACATGCAATACAAAATAATAAGTGATACTGAACTGACAGACGTTGTCTTCAGTTGCCTGGCCTTCAAATTGGTGCAGAGTGGGGTGATATCTCGTCATTTCACACAAACCTTTCAGGTCATCTGAAGCTCTGTATTTTTTATGCTAATCCATAGACACCTGGCATAACCTGAGGGCCAATTCAATTAGGTGTTCTTAGGAAATGAAATGTTCAGGGAAATTATTCTGCAAGCCAGTGTAATTAGAAGAGTGCGGTGCTATCTGTTTGCTCTGAATTAAAACATCATGGTTGATAAAACTAATAGAGCTCATCTATAATTTCCAACACTCAATCAAAACATTTTAATTAACTGCACAAGAAAGTGAACTGGACCCAGACATATTTTGGCCTCCAGTACCTCATCTTAATCTGAGATAAATGTCCTTTAGAAAACAGTTGTTTATCATTCTTTATTTCATTTCAGTGTAATTAAATATGAATGCTGTCTTTTTTATAGTATTGGTAAATTAAAATTATGGCTGTTTTTTAAAAAGCCTTTTGTAACAGTTTCATGAGCTCAGTTTCTTCCAATGGACAGATCATCTTATGCATGAAGTACAAAGCAACTTTCAAAAATAATGCTAACTTCCCAAATTTTAAACAGAGTTTGTGCTCTTCTGAAAAGCTAAAGACGAAGGACTCTTTTGGTACTTTTTTCATAAGCCTAACTATATTCTAAAATACCACAGATAATCCTCTAAATGAATATACTGCAGGATGCAGAGTAAAACAATGATGGCATTTGTTTTGAATTTTCAGTTTGGTTTTCTCTGCGCCAGCCTGAGGTTGCGAATGAAATGGTATCGATACTGAGATGGTACAAAAACAACAAAATGGCTTCCCTCCACCACACACTCGGACCAATGACTCTTGCTTACCTGGGGCTTCAATCAGCTGTTTGTAAACACCAAGGAAGGCAGTCTCAGCCTCTTTGCTTCGCTTATTAAGTGCTACCACCTACAAAAGAAAAACAAAGTCACCACAGGGATGCCAGCGGCAGAGGGTTTTATTAGACACAAGTTACAGTATGTGGTTATGCCTGAAAACAGATCCAGTGACTCGAGTGGCTTAAGAACCGCCAGTACGTCCAGAAACCTCAACTGAGTGAAACCGAGTGCTCCTCTTTACTGCCACATGGCAAGACAAAGGAAGATTACACAAAATGGGACAAATACCTCATAGAAGCCCTGCTATACAGAGTTCTGTTAAAACATTCTGCATGTGCAGAGAACAGTACTAAACCATGCATGCAGGGCTGAACTGGGCTAGGAGCCACAGGATGCAGGCTAGTCTCAGTACATCACTGCTGGTGCACCACTAATCAAACCTACCACAACCACAAACTAGAACCCTAAAGGCCAGCTATCTGACCAGGGTGAGAGAAAAAAAGAAACAGATCCTGACAATGCACAGGCTTAGCAAACACAGACTGGCTACAGAAAGTGAGTGGCTTTCTACCCATGCTGATATGCTGAAAGAAATACTCTGGATTCTACATTCTTCCCTAAAATGACCAACTGAAGTCAACACCTGCCAGCACCAGAAGAGCTATCAATCCTACTGAGGAGGGAGGAAACTCAATAGAGCTGCAGCCCAGTATGTGATCTCCTGTCACAGCCTGAGGAACAGAGAGTGAGTCTCTCAAACAACAATAATAGTGTCTTTCTGATTGTTATTGCTTTGGCAACACTGCAATTCATCAGTCATGCCAATAAAGCTTGTTGAATGCGAATTTGAAAGTAGTGGGAGAGGGCCAGAGTGTGGCAGTGGAGGAGCGAAATGTGTTGTGTGGATTACAGGAGAAACAAAGGACAATGCCATTACAGTGTTTTTTTTTTTGTTCTTTTGAAGCTTATGGAGGGTTGCTCCTTAACTGAACTGGGCCTTCAACGTGACTCCTCTGCGATTCACTTTTTCCAAAAGGAAGTTCTCAGTACAATGTCAATAAGTACTTTTGTATCCGTATTTATTCCTACAGATAATTCCACAGTCAACCTCCTGTTTTATCTTTTAATTTGAACATTTAAATATTTAGTGCATTTATAACTCAGAACAGGAGAGAATTCTTTACCCAAAGGGTGGTGGGAGTATGGAACAAGCTCCAGAGCCATGTTGTTAAAGCCTGTAACCTGCCTTCTTTAAAAAAACAGCAGGATGAGATTCTTGAATCAATATGCAACTAGAAACCAAACAGGCTTTGAAACCGATCTTATGTTCTTAAGTCTTAAAAAAACGCTGTTTATCACAGTTGAGGGCACACGTACAAATTGTAAAGATGCAGGAATCTCTATAAAGAAACCATAAGTCACTGTGGTTAAAGGCTTCAGCCAAATGAAGGAATATTAACAACAAGCCGACAGAAAAGTGCTGGGATTGGACTTCTGATCAATACTATCAACAGACTGCAGGAAACTCATAGCTGCCTTTTCCACGCAGTGGCTGTGATTTGCTCTGCTTTGTCTTTAAGGTTTGAGGCTTCTCTAGGAGCCTTGCTCTTTCATGCTGCTCAGCAAAAGTGATCCAATTGGCTGGAGAAATCTCTGCAGGTGTTAGAAAACCAATTAAGAATTCATTAGGAGAGACAAAAGAAACACAATTACCAAGCACCTGGACCTACTGACAGGGCACCTGTATGAATCCGCTTGCTACGGATGTACAGATTTGCTTGGTAATAACCTCCATACACTGCACAACATGTTTCCAACTCTTACTTGTTCTAAAAACAAGGTTTTTATCAAGGTTTATTGACTGTTAAAGAGGCAAACCTGTCATTGTTTGACAGCATGTCCATGAGCCACACAACCTGGAGCTGTGAGGTGCTACTTTTTGAAGGCACAAGAAGCATTTTCCTCTACAGAAAAGGTGGACTGAGTATTGCACTCTTCAAATGTGGAAATACCCCCAAAAAAGAAAATCTGTCAACTCTTGTATTGCTAGGATAGTGCTAATCTTTCACAGCAGCCTTAAAGTAACTATGAGGGGAGTTCTCTTACATTTTTAATGGAAAAATTTCATTAGGGATGAGAAAATGGATTTACATTTTTTTCAGACCCAAATATAAATGACTCAACATTACTCTCTGCAATATAGCTAGTCCCTATGTAATTTCAGCTTTACAACTTGAATGAGGGCTTTTCTCTTATCAAAATCAATGTGGAGCAGTTCATTATGCTTCACCAATAGGCCTGGGAGATGGTGATTTGATTTCCCAGCACAGTACATTTCCCGACAATCATTTGCTTCTCCAAAGTGTTTTGCTTATTCCCAAAAATAAGACACTACAAAAATAAGACATGAGGTTGTTGCTGTGATATTGATATGGCCAAGATACTGAGATGGTTTCTAAAAAAAGAAATATGGTTTCCCTTTGTCCACTCTCACCACACACCTGGACCAGTGTACACATAGTATGATACACAGTATCAGTGTTTTCATCGGAATCAAAACTATGTACCCACCTCACATTTTTAAATAAATAAGTCATTTTAAGAGATAAGGAGTTATGATTTGAGTGTGAGCAAATATGCTTTAAAAAACTCTGACTGACCCAGGTGCACTGACAATAATGTCAGTCAGTGAAGTAGTGACAATAATGACCTCTAGTGCCAATTACAATATCAGTTAAACAAGCACTATAGCAAAACATTGGACTCCTCCAGTAAAATCATTCTCAGAGTTCTCAGGATATGTCAACAAGCCTGAAAGTCACAGGTTCAAATCCAGACACTATCAAAGGGTGACTGTTTAATAGTTCATTTGGGGATGGGTGTTGTAAGGTCATCATAGAATAGCAAAGTCATAGCAACAAGTCTTGTGAAACTGAACCTGGATCAAACAGGTCTTAATGCACTTTCACACTGATAAAAATGTAAGCATTTCACTTAAATAATCAAATTGTACAGTATGCCATTCAGTGCTTTAAATACAAGTAAACACATTTTAAAATCATTTCTATAACTCACTGGCAATCAATGCAGCGATGCCAGCACAGGAGTAATGGTTTTTGTTGGTATTCTAGTCCCTGCATTCTGCAGAAGCTACTTGCAAGATAAGGTATTATTTGAAAGATAAGAGAATGTGGCATTGCAGTTATATAGGCTTGATGTAATAAAGATATGGATTAATTTCTCTGTAACAGAAAAGGGAGGAACTATGTCATTTAGCAATATTACGTACATGATAGAAGTACAATTTAGTGATGTGTTTATTACTGTTTCATTAAAAGCATAAAAAAACCCTGCTAGGGTCCTCGCCTCAGATTTAACAGCTAAACTCCAAAAATCTAATTCATTTCTATCTGTAAATAGTTACGTGGAACTAAAAAAGGTTAAAAGAGAACCACTTATTATATGCAGAACGTAACTGCACAGACTGCTGAACACATCTTTTAAAAATCTATCTGGTGTTAAATAAAGAGGACAAGTAGTAGATTTCACCTACACTCTTATTGTACTTAGTTTCTGCATGTTCAATTAAGATAATTACATTTCTCAATCATATGGCCTAATTAATGGCACATTCTAATCAATTTTTTTCGTGAAAACTGATCCCTAGTAGTAACTATTTTGTTCTGCAAAATAATTAAGAATTTCTTCACACTTAGCAGCTGTTGATATTACACAGGCAGTTTTGATCTTGTTCAACAGGCCTGGTTTATTGTTTCATTAGATACAGTACATGTGACATGCTTACATTCCCTACTAAAATTAGTTTTAAAGTCCTACAATACAAACGATCAAAAACAAGGATTAAAACAACAACAACAATAATAATTCCTTACACTTCAAATGTAATATGTAATATAGGTAATAATAAAAGAACAGGAAAACATGACCAATATCAGCAGAGCCAAGATCCTATGGTGGGCTAGAGCCAGACTGAAAAAAAAATGTCTTGTCAGTTTCAGAGTCTGACAATGTACCAAAGAGAGGAAGAGCTAAAAGTTTTTTTTTAAAAGTCAAATCAGCTCTAGGGCACACACAGTACACAAACAATAAAAATCCCACACTGCTTTATCTACCCTCTGCCATCAAAACGTGGACTTGAATTTACACTATAATCTTGGGAGTCAGAAGGAGGAGGAAGACTTTATTTTACCCAGATTTGGCGAGGCCTGATACAGTTTTTTACCTTTAAATTTAAGAAAACAATTACCTGACTAGCCTGATAAATCTATGCACATAAGGGAAGGAAACATAATGTGATAAAAATCATCAGAACAGCAGAACTAGGGATTCGAACACAGTCTGCTGAACGAATTCCAAGACCGATGATTTACCCACCCCCCCTCCCACCGGCATCTCAATCACCTGGACAAGGATATCACTCTCATCCTGCCTGTCTAGCTTCATGTGCAGCCCCAGTGCCAAATCACAGAAAACTTCAAAAACAGTTTTGTGATAAAAAGTTAGATGGGCTGCTTGATTCCTAGGCTTTAACAAGACCTTAAAGAGACATTCAAAAAAGTACGCGACTTAATCCAAACTGCGGGTACTCCCATCAGGGATGCTTAACAACAGCTTCAAGTTTAAAGAAATATCATAAAGATCAACTAAATCCCTTCCATCACTTATCGGCTAAGCTGCTTCAGTGAGTTAATGTAAAATGGAAAGGCTATGGACGGAATCAATAGGGATGCCACAGTCTACAGCTCACTGGTAACGCTCAATGATAGCAATAACATTGTTTTCGGTTTCTCTCCCTCTCTCTCTCTTTTTTTTTTGCTGGCGAGATCAAGTTCAGGACAAGATCTCCCTGTTGCACTTCCTTCGCCTGTGTGCTTCCGCGGACCAGCGCCACAGTCGTACCTGCTGCAGAACGAATCAATGTGATTTCGCTGCAATTGATTTAAGAATTAATTTATTTCTTTTTTTTTTCCTCTCCAGCTTTCCAACACGTTTTCATTAAAAATGCGTGTGGCCACGGAAATCTAAAAAGTCAGGGAGATACCCTGCTGT